GAAGTGGAGAAATTCATATTTTTCCTTACTGAGTTAAATATAGCGGTTCTTGTGAAGTAACTTTCTTATGCAGAAGAGAAGAGCAAGGTATTCATAATCTTCTGCTACATGTGGAATCGCAGTGCAACTCGATGCGCAATAGTATGCATACAAATAAACTCAAAAATAAAGTCCTCCTGGTGACACATTGTGACATGATAGGAAGTGAGACGGTCAGATCACCAGCGTATTTAACGAAGTTGCTCTCATTAGAAAGAGAAAAGTCATGTAAGACAAGAGAGAGAAAAAAGAAAAGGAGAGATGACAGTACCCTGAGGAACACAACCTTCAGCAAGCAAGGCGGAAGACTTACCCCAATATACAGTATGCTGTATACCATTTAGGGAATGATAATGCAACCTGCACAGGACTCGTGTTTGCACGACCGAAACCTTACTCAACTAATATCATCTAGGTCCTTAGTCAATAACGGCATATGTTGAATAACTTAAAGCTCAGCACAAGAGTGATAAAGCACAAAAAACACTTGCAAAGTAGGAGACGAAAACCGGGTGGATGAAGATGTTACTGAAAGGTATTTATTTGTCATTTAATAATAATAATATATTCTCATTTTTGTACATGAAGGACGCCAATTTACAGGCATCATCAATTCGATAAATTACACATACGAATAGTAAGTATAGTCACTAATGATAATATAATAAGGTACATAATTATTCCTACAAATGTAGGACACACAAGTTGTAAAGCCATGCATAAGTATTATTTAAGTTAAATATTTAAATTACATGGAATACGGTTAAATAGCATGGTTGCTGTCATTTTATCTTCAGTTTGTGGGAAAAATCGGATAACTGGTTATTCAATGGGACACACCAAGAAATGTAGAGATATTGACTTCGCATTAACAAAAAAACCAAGTATGCGTTGGATGGATTACAGATACTTAAGAAAATAAATAAAGCTTGAAGTCAAGTCCCTCATAAAACAATAAAATGCGTCTTACAATAATATATTCCCTCTTTACGCACATGAATAAATAAATAAATTTATTCTCATAGTACAGTACATGAGGGACGCCAGTTTACAGGCATCATCAAATTGTTACAGAAATAGAGCCATATAATTCAATCAAAATATACACGCTGCAACAAGATATGCTTTGTATGTCCGCTGGAGATATTACATACACTTGATAAATGTTAATCCCAGTAGTATAAAACAGCCTTTTCACTTATATACAATCATTTCTGTGCACAGTTGGAAAAATCTGCTAGATTGTCAGTGAGTGCAACGCATCGGAAATACAGAAGTATTGTCTTCGCATTAACAAAAAACCAGGTCTTTGGTGGATGGATTATAAATGCCTGGGAAAAAAATAAAGCTTGAAGTCAATTTTCATACATAACTTCGTTGTGTGCAGAGTCCTCGAATTATAGTTCATTGATATGTTATTTTGAAATCAGTGATATGTTTATCTCATTTGATCTGCAATGTCATTGTTGGGAGTAAATATATAAGCTTCAGACGCATTAATTAATGGATTTCTACTGCTTGTGGGTATTTTCTTAGCGTGAGGAAGGTTTATGAATTTCAGCTGTTCCGACAGGAGTTGAGAATATTAACTGCTCAGCAACATTATGGATATAAGTTCATCACATTATCTAAGGAGAGGTGGGTTGCAGTTGGTGAGGGATATATGGTGCCCAACGAGCGTTCATCTGTCCATGTGATGTTGTGGTGAGTTATACCTTTTTCATGTTGTTGGTTTATGTCCATTTTATTCCACTTATTGTGTTGGGTAGTAGTTTGACAAACGAGATTTCTTGTCTGTTTGAGGATACGTATTTTAACCGTTAATGTTTTATCTAGAATTATAAATATAGGCAAAAAACAACAGGTGTAGTATTTAAGCTTATACATCAAATGGTCCTATAATTTCGGAGGCTCTCAGATAGGAACTAGAACTACTATCGTTTGCAAACTCTTGTAGTTTGTCATTAAGCACCTTTTCGAAGGAGGCCAATGTACTTGCTTGACGCATTTCCATTGGTAGTATATTCCATATCTGTGCATACCTAATCAAGTAAAACTTTTGCCTGGAGGCTGTTTTACATTGTTCGATAGCTACTGTACCCTTAGTGTGTCTTAGTTTGTAGCCATTGTCAACTGAAAGTCGAGTACCATTAGTAGAGGTAAAAACTAAGTGGTTTAGAAGCTTATAGTAAAGTGTTAAGTTTAGTCTCAGGCGTCTTAGCCATAGTGTTTTTAGTCCTAGGGTATTACATCTAGTGGAGTAGTTCGCACCATTTTCGGTTCCGAGTAATTTAGCAAAGAACAAGATTAAGAACTGCAATTATCATTTGTTGACATTCTGGAGACCATTATTCAGTGTTTCGCATTTAGTTATGCCTAGCCTGTGTCATTCTGCCTGACTTTCAGTATGACTTTGCAAAGAAGTCCAACTGTTCAGTTTACCACATTCCATGCACACCACACAAAAGTAGAGACATAAAACTAAATGGAAGTTTAACGAGCGAAAATTTGAGGGAAAATAAATAGTGACAACATGAGTTGAATAGATACGTGAGATTACACAGAGTGAATGCATATATATCTAGTAGTTCTTCTAACTGACTGTCAACGATTTTATGAACCAATAGCAGTTTTTCATTCGACCGACCCAAACACATTTTGAACCTTGACATGTGCTGGCTAACATTATTCTTCGAGGAAGGCGATGGCTTGGTATGCAATCATGTGTTATAGCCATCTCAACCTATTCAGCTTCCCAACCTTGAAGACTAACTGGCGAAGTTCTACAATAGAGTCCCAAGGAACGAACGCACAAGTGACCTTGAACCGACCAATCAGAAAAAAGGATGATTTTTGCATAAAATTTTACGTATTTTTACATAAATAAGCATGAAAAAAATCAAACAGGGTACGTTTCTCTAATATGAGTTAAAAAATGTTCCAATTATTAATCGGAGTTTCAGTTTTGAAGTTAAACCAATTTCTATACATGTATTCATCCAAATGACTGAAAATGACTTCGTTTTGTGATCCATTGATGGCTCGGATTCGATTTTTTAATCTTCCCCAAAAACCCTCGATGGAATTGGTATGCGTTCCGGAGACAGGGTCAACGAAATCACGGGAATGGTTAACTCTATGATGTATATACCCGAGTTGCGATAACTGGTTATATCCCGCCCATTCATCGGTGTGCATGGTAGTGCCAGGCAAAACAAGCCTCTGAATAATAGGCACCAGAGTGCCCGCACTTCTGTCTGGAATCAATTCGATGAATCCTTTCCGAATTTGGGTATCATAAATTCCCAATACCCAAACGCTGTTGGCTCTAGGATGACCACGATTATATTTCTTCTTTATCAGCACTGTTTCGTCGATGTGAACAGTAACACCCACTCCTCCCAAAACTTGAGTAATATTATTCATCTTCCATGACGCTAAATCTCTGCAAAACTGAAACCATTGAACAGTAGATGTAAGAGTATTTTCTGTCTGAGCGGCTGTTGACCTCACTCCGGATTTAAAAACCCAATAATTGCACAAGAACAGGATTTTCGTCAAAGGGAGTTTCGATTTTTCAAAGAAAGTCCCTAGAAAACAATTAACTGAGGCTGTCACTTACCATTACGAACGCTTATTCGTTTTCTGCAATGTGTACACCTAAAGACATATCCATCTATGGCCTGTGAATACGACTGCAGGTTCATAGAAACATCACAAGTACATAAACGTGTACGTGCTATTAATCCATTATCCAGACAGTACTGAAATACGTGATCTGGGTGGAATTGCCATCTCAGTAGGTGAACAGCGTTCATCTTCGCGGTAGAATGATGGTAACTTCCTAAACCAATAACTGGCATGCGTTCAAGGTCATTGGAACATTTACAACCTTGGGACTCTATTGTAGAACTTCGCCAAAAGAGTTTATGTGGAAGTGAAGCAATGTCAAAAAGCAGTTACACAAAATTACTTCCCTGTATGTCTCAAGAAAACCTAATTCCTCACAGGATTCCTCATAGTTCGATCAAACCAAATTTTATGCCTAAATTTGTCATGATAACTGGTTCGTAACTCATTCACAACTCCAGTACTCTGTTTTAGGTGACTATGGAAACTTTCGACAGAATCTGTGTGGTTCCCACTGAAAGGATAAACGAAATCTTCCTACTATTGACCACGTCATGAATATAGCGCGGCATGCAAGTTGGCTAAAAGTTTTCTCCCTTCCAATGAACCTGTTGTCTAAGCAGTGATTAAATACTAAATTTGGATTAGATTATCTACGTGATTCGTGTACAGCAACCGTAATTCCGCTTACCTACTACGAACTCATCCAACTGGTTGCTTAGGGTCATTAAATCTTTTATTGGGAACTTTCGTTTAGGGCTGCTATAGCGTAGAAGAATACTA